CCTGTACAGATCATCAACAAGGGAAGGAGGAAGGGAAATAGGAGCATCCAAGGGATCCTGCACAAGGTTCCATTGATCATATAGAGTCCACTGAAGACACCTCATATGTGCTCAGCCCAAAGGGATAAGGGTTTCCATTGAAGACCACATCCCCAAGAGCGATAGCACCTTGTGAGCAGTAATAGAGGAAGCAATAAGGGCATAGAGAACTGAAAGCTCTATCGAATGGAGTCAAAGAGGAAAAGGTTGGGCCTGTCTTTGATGAATGTTGAAAAACACACCCAAGTGGACAAAATATTGGGTAGTTATAAGGAATGACTTCTCCAACTTGATAAACCAGCCCAAAAGAAGCAGATGAATGTGATGGGTGGACTCCCAATCGGAACAAGCTAACAGAAGCCAGTCATCTATGAAATGGTGTAAGTGCAACCCTCAAGCATACATATGTCTTGACAACTCAACAAAAGGCATACAGGGCTGAAGCAAGTCTGAAAGGTAGGGAACAAAATTGATACACTACCCCATGATGAAGAAATCAAAGATAGCACCTTGAACGATGAGATATAGGAATATGCTGATAAACATTCGACACATTGGTCATCCACAGACCTAAAGAAAAAGCCCACCAGAGAGTGAGAAAAGACGAGATAAAACGAGGCAGAACCAAAAATTGCTTGAGGCGGGACAGATTGATCACAGACTGCCATTACCTGGTTTTCTTGGGTACCACAAACAGCCTAGAATAAAAACCTAGAAAAGGATGAAGTATAGGTTCGATGGCTTTCTGGGAGAGAAGATTCTGAACTGCCTTGGAAAGACATTGACTGGTGGTAGGATCCTGAGGCAACAGAAAGGATATGTGATACCTGAAATAAAGGAGAAGGGGGAAGAAAGTGGAAGAGAAGTCCCTCAGATAACACCTGAATAACCCAAAGATCTGTGGGAAAATCATGCTATAAGAAACAAAATCAATCAAGCAAGCCCACATTGGACCAGAAACCAAGGGTAGTCACTAGTACTGTTGCCAACATGTCCATCTGCATTGAATAATATGACAAGTTGAGGAACCCCTGGAGGTAGGAACTGGTAAAGGCTGGGAAGGAACAGGATGGGAAACAGTAGTAGGTGTGTGTCTAGACTCAGAATGAGACAAACAATCAACCAAAGATGAAAAATTTAAATTGTCAATTGCTGTCTCACTGATCCCACGCTGGATTCTAAAATCTCAGGAATATCTCCAAAAACAGACTGTTGGAGAAAAGGGGTAATAAGTAAATCTTGAAGATATGTAGGTGGTAAACAAACTTGGAACAACACAGCATCTCTCCCCAGAAGATCCCAACAACAGAGAAACCATGTTTGTAAGGAAAGAGCTGAAGAAGGAAAATATGCCAACATAGAGGAAATCAGGGAGAGGGCATCCCTCATGATCTTGGTGGAGCACCTTGGAAAGGAATTTGATGGTGGACAAGTACCATAGAAGAGTTGATAGGACAAGATGTCAGTAGGAAAACTAGGCATGGGATAAATAAACAGGATGATCAGGGTCTGCCTCCCACATGGACAAAGGTGATTCCAACTGTTGAAAATCAAGAAATGGAAATTCAACCTCATGATAGGCTAAAGCAAATTGATCCAAAGCCTGGGATGGGTGAGGCATGCTAGCCCCCTCACACATCTGGGAAAGGAAGAAACACAAAGTACTGAGAGGAGGGGTATCATATAACAAAGATGGAATAGGATTACAAGAAATCAGGAAAATTGATAAAACAGAATACACTTAAGAAATCATGTCCAAAAAAGCTGCATTAGGCCTAGCTGATTTTGCAGTAAGGGAACATGAAGACGCATCAAAATCAGGTGGAGGAAAAAGGCTGTCAACTTCCTCATTGTCCTGAACAAGTTCGAAATGTTCAGGAGGAGATGACTGACTCTTGTAACAATCAATCTCTTGTCAAATTAGAGCTGATAATTCCCTAGTTGAGACTCCCTCTGAAGTGGTAACTTGAACTTTCGAATTCATCATTAAAGATGAATAACCAAACACAACAGTGTTAATATTAATAAACGAAAAACTAGAAAAAAAAGTAAGTTATCCTTATGTTCAAAACAATTGAAAAATGAGAATAAAAATTCCACTTTGGAATAAATTACAAAACAGATAAATCAAAGTTGAAAAAAACTGCAAAAAGTTCACTAAGTTTCAAAAAAAAAAAGATTGAAGAGCACAATGAAAAACGTCTTGATACAAGCACTGCCAAATGAGAAGTAGTGATAGTTCAGCAGATTCGAATAGAGGGAGTCACATGTGTCAGCAGGGTGTGTCGCACTCTTATTGGTGGAGGGTTGTTGCATGATGACTTACATACGAGACACAATTGAACCACATTGGTCGTGGGGTACATGGGATATAGAATGCAGCACTGAATGAGAATAGCTGTATCTTTGAGCGGAGGTAATGTACCTTATCAGAATGAAAATTTAGTAGAGGTGTTTTCTTACATCTTTACAGTTCATGACATTTTTCTACAATATGGATTATAGTCAACAAATAACAGCAAGGGCAGCCTACTGAGAGGTCCCAAGTTATCTGTGACCACTCTTTTCAAACTTACTGTCAGGATAATTGTAGTGTCTAGTCACTTGATGGAAAATGACAAGTCTCCCACAAGGATTCCATATATGTTTAATGGGATTGAAGTCTTGTGACTGGTTGGTGTGAATGTTGCTCTATTCTGTCAATTTCACCCGAAATTCATCAAACCATTTAGCATTGGTGAGAGTGGATGTTATCCACATCATTTGGCTAAAGTCAAAGCTAATTGCAACAATATATGGTAGCACAAAGGTTTGTAGAATGCGATTCATATAATTTGCACTTTTATTTACATCACTTTGTAGGATGTAGAAATCTTTATGTCCACTAATGTTTATTTCCCTTCACACAATACTTCTACCATTATCATATGCATCATGTTCCTGTATAAAAATGGGGTGGACCTGGTTCCAGTTTCCAAACAAATGAATATAAGCCTGTTATCTAGTTGCAGAGTTTAATACAACTGTAAAAGTAATATTACTCCACTTAACACATTCTTGGCACTATTGCAGATGAGGTGTGTTTTGTGCCTTGCTATGAACAGAATGTATCTAGCATATAACAAACAGGTTGGCCTTGTGAATTCTGTTTCTAATCATCTGTTCTATGACAAACATCCATTTCAATCTCTGAGCCTGAATCCTAGGGTCACAGTGAGACAGAAGCAACAGATATCATTTGGCTGCTCGTATTATGGTTGCTGATCTGTCTAGATGTTCAACAACTACCAACAGTTTCAAAGCAGTTCCACATTCAGCTAACTGACATTTTAAAACATTTGCAGTTAATTGTAGAACAAATACTAAATTAAAAGCATAATTTACTTGGTTAATCTACTGCCTCAGTACATATGAGCAAGCTTTCTTTTATATGGAAACCCTGTACATCACTAATCCTCATTAAGATTTTGAAACAATTTGAGTGGATGACTGTCACACTTATCTAGGATATGAGAAAACCCTTCAGATAGCTTTCCACATATGTGAAACATTATATTTCTTCTTCAAGTTCTAGCTATCTCTAAGGAAATTTGCCCAGTTAAACAACATGCTGGGATTATATATCACATACCTGAAGGTAATAAACCACACTTCTTTAAAACCAACACTGATATATAACTAGAGTTGATCAATTAACCTGACTAACTGATTACATATGAGCATCAATTACATTAATTAATCCAGATTTTCTGGCAAAATTTCTTCAGTAATAGATTATTAATAAATTCACAGTTAAAGATGTTTTGATTTTTCCTTCTCAGCAAAAAAGGTAAATTTTCATGATGATGTTATGCAATAAATTTTGATATTGAGTTAATTTAACTACTACCAGTTGTGCAAGAAACTGTTGTTTCAGGCACAGATTTGGTTTGTTTTTCCTAGATGTTGTAAATGGTTTAACCAGACACAAGATATCCAAGTCATTTTACTTTTAAATAATCTAGTTTTATATCTTAAGAACAACAATCTAATAAAGTCAATATGAAACTATTTGGTTATTTTTAACTTTTAATGGAAAACAGTGGCTGAAAAAAATTGTTGTGAACCTGGTTACTATTGACATCTTTTGATAATACTTTAGTTATTTTTTAATTAAAAGAATATATATTTTGCACTATATTCTGTAAATGTTATGCTTATTTGTAAATTGTTTTGAGCATACAGCTTTAAAAATAAATTTAGTAAATGTGTTGATTAATTAGGCCTATATAAGAATTGTTGGTACCTATGATCTATTACATTTACATGAAGAAACTAGAGAAGTTTTAAATTGTACAAGTATTTGGACAAAGCTTCCATCTCTTATATATTGTTGTTGATTGGTAAATCATGATAAGTCATTGTGTAAGTCATGATAACATCAACTATTCTTTTAACTTAAGCTAAATACATCCACAAATCCAAAATACATGCAACTTAAATTTAAAACCTGATTTTCTAACTGTTTTTGCACTTAAAGATGGTGATTTAAAAGTAATGCTATCATTTAATGTATATAAATTTGTATGCCTTAATATACAAAATATGTGGAATACAACTATTTTTTAGAATAAATGAACACACATTAAGCATACACACATTTGCCTAATGTAAATATAGAGAGAATAGCTATGACTCTTAACACTTATTAACTTTGAGAGCTGTTACTATTATTTACCTGAAACCTCAGTTATTTTTAATCTCAAACTAATATATGAAAAAACTAAAATTTTTAATCCAGCAGTGTTCACAGTGTCAGTAATTACCTGGTTTAATTAATAAATGTGGCAATAACTGAATAAATATATTATTGCTATTATGCATATTACCAAGTATGCACACACACCATACATAATAATTAAAAATGTTAAATAAGTTAAGTTTTGAAATCGAACTTCCAGTAAAAGATAAATAAAACTTACTAGGTTTGCTGATAGTGTCTCTACTTGTGTTTTATATTCGCTCTCTTCATCATCTTTCATTCTAAGCTTCTCTTCAATTTCCTCACGTTCCTTTTCTTTTTTACTCATTGTTAATTTTGAAGTCTCTAATTCTAATTTAACCTTGTTCAGAGCGCTTTGTAATTCACGGTTTTGCTTGTCCATATTTTCTTTGCTTTGACCAGCCAAACGAACATTTTCTTGCATAATTTGTAGTTGCTTTTGAAGATCGTTAAACTGTGATGAAAGACTCCAATAACTAAAACCCAAAATTCCCAAAATAACAAATAAACCCACAACAAGAAACGGAGGTCGACTGGAAAAGTTTGACCTTAACTGACCCCTTGAGACAGTATTAGTTGAACCCATCGTGCTCTATAAACTTTTAGAAATGTTTTCTAAGACTTCGCGTACTTAAATTTTAATTATATCCTACCAAACAAAATACCCATAAACCAAATGTCACACCCTCATCTAAAAAGTTTTCACCGTACGTAAATGTCTCCAGCACCTCCAAAGGCCGCTTACCTGTTATTTACATACCTCGCACATACAGCGATTTCAATCACGTCAGGCGTTACTGTACGATTGGTCGACTCAGGTAGATTTAATGAGGTTCTAATTCTTAACACTAGAGGGACAAATTATTTTTGTTTACAGCATATATATATAATTAGGCAAACAACGATTTACAAGTCGTTGTTTTTGTTGTTGTCTGTTATTAAGCACAAAGCTACACCAAGGGCCATCTGTGTTCTGCCCACCACGCTATCTACGATTTACAAGCATATGGAAAGGTTTCATTGATGGTGGAACATAATACATGTTCTCTTGTACTGTGAGGAAGCTACCAATGCTAGGTTATTTTATTCCATTTATTTCTGTTAACTTGCTTTGGTGAATAAAAGGTTTGAATAGTTACTAACTGTTTTGTTTAGTCTACTATAAGAGTTTATGTGTATATTACCATTTATCACCACTGATTTTAGGGCTGTCATGGGAAATTTCTATTAAATTGCTCGTAAAATTGTGAGGAAGATTTTTCTTCTTGGTCTATTTGTTCTGTTAGTGATCTGATTTTAATAATTTCAGTCTTTTGGCTATAATTAATTTAGTCCTACTTTAATTGTTTATACTGATTCGAATGTATTTTGGGTTACTTTCTATTTTGCGATGTTAAAAAACACGTAGGTTGAAATCTTGATAGTGTTGCGTCAGCGAGGTCATGTGACTAGTATCACGCCACTCCTTCTCGAACCTTCATGAATTATCGGGAGACTACTAGATTGGGGGTAGTCTGGTATATATAAGACGCTCACAACGTGACGCAACAAAGGTAATGAATAATTGAACTGCTGTCAGAAAGAATATTGTTAAGCACGTGAGAATTATAGCGTTTGTTACAGAGCGACTGTTGAAATTAAGTGTATCGTAAAGTTGTATTCGGAAAGAATAAACCAGTTTTATTTAAGAAAGGACTTGTGCCACTAAAGTTTCGTCGGAATGAATTTACGGAAAATTAACTAACGAACAGAGACGTAACAATAGAAATGAATAAAACCCTATAATCCGAGCGCTTTCGAAAAGTGGACCTTTCTTCTTCAGGTTTGCCTTTGAAGAAGAAAGGTCCACCTTTCAAAAGCACTCGGGTTATAGAGTTTTTATTCATTTCTATTTTCCGAGCTATTGTTGTAAGTGTGCGTTCGAGAAAATGTATTTGTTTATTTCGTTTTTGCTTGTTGTTTTTGCCTGTTCTTTCTTTTCACATTTAAATAGTGTTTTAATTTCTGATTTAATGTTTTCCCAGCACTCTACCGTGGTGGTTTCTGAAGTATATAAGATTTCTAATTTGTTATTAACTGCATTGCTTCTGCCTCAAAGTATGGTACAGTATGATTCTTGCTGTTCTTGTTCTGTGCAGTACTGTTAAGAAATCTTTCTATGGCACAAGCAGCCAATTTGAGTACAAACAATTAAAAGCCAGTCACTTTGGTAAATACACAACCCTTATTTAGTAAAAATAATATTTTCTTATTTGTTTACTTATGTTTGTTTGTTAGTTTTTCCTTTGTTATCCATGTCTGACTTATTTTTTGTGTAAAGTTTTTGAAACATGCTGTACTGTGAAACCTATTAACTACATATAACATATCAGTGTATTTGAATACCACAGCCTAGTTAAAAAGCAACATTTAGTGCCATGAACAAGGGATTTGTTCTAATGGGGGGTTATTTTGAACCTGTTTATTCTTCTGTTAAACTCTGGTTCTGTAATGTTTGTAAATCATGATAATGAAAAAGCACTTTCTTAGACCATGCAGAACTTATGGGGAAGAGAAGGAAGCCAGAAATGAAGTGAGGACTTGATCCAATAATCTATCAAGAAATAGAAGAACTCTTTTGGACTCAGAGGTTCCACTGACTATGTGAATGTGAAATTGCGCCACGCTAGATAATCCAAAACAAGCAAGGCATAATTTCTAATGGTTACTTCCCATGTTTTGAAGCATGATGGTACGGAATAGTTTAAATGTCCCGAGATTTTTTGAGATGGTAACAATGAGACATCAAGGCACACATTACCAAGGCCAGGCATCACAATGCATTGATTTGAGCCACCCATAGTCGGAGAGAGTGGCAAAATGTGTGTGCTGGATGAAGTTTGAGGTATTTCATCACAATGTCAGCTGGCGGAACAGACGCAACGTCACCATGATGCATAGGATCACAAATTGGTCAGGATCCTCTCAGACTGATAAGATGTACTGGTGATACTCTAAAACTGCGTATTGTAGCTTTGGAATGTAATGTTGCATCACACATCGAGTCATTATGGTGACAACAATAGCATGTTCTACTGCACTAAGGGTTTAGCCTTAGGACATCAAATTCACCAGGGTGTGTGCATCTCTGGACTTATGGAAGGGGAAGAGAACCTATTCTGAATGTATACAGTCTCAGATGTAGGTATAGAAGTCAGTAGTAAGTTTTTATCGACACTACCATTTAATTATGGAGGGCATATAAAAATAGATAAACCCATCAGTGTTCATTGGGGTACAATAGAAGTATGGTATCATTTCCTCGTGCATTTCAAGGAAATTGTTTCCAGGAATGAATAGATTTGGGATATTTAATGCAATGTTTGAGCCTAGATGGTCCCATGCTCAATGTCTTAGGGCATTCGTAAAATGAAAACTTAATGAATGGTAAATTTTTTTAATGAGTTTCACTGCATATTTTACCCTGTAGAGAACAATTCATACATTCAGTTCAAAGCTTAAAGGAAAGGGTCTCATATAAGCTTGACTGCTTAAACAAACAATTTAAAGAGATAACATTGGAAAGTATTCCTGATAAGATTCTCAATGACAAATTTATGGAGAAATTGCCAAGCAATGTAGCATCACATGGGTTCGATTAACATCTCGTAGCTCAAGGAGGCAATTTGAGTGGTGATGCTATTTGAATTGACCAAATGAAATAGCACACTGGAGAAAAGGAAGAAACCGCAACAGTGGGAAATGCAGCTGTTGACTCTGCTCTGAGACAGTCTCCACAGTCCATGATTGCACCAAATCACCAAAGAAATGTTGACTGCTAGCTCCATCAGCTCCTGTTGCAGCAGATGCCACAGTGCATCAAAGTGCATTCCACATTGTTTCCAATGGGACACCAGGGCTTCCCTAGTCCAGTTTTTATGGCTGTGCTACAAATTTAGCAAAAGTTTGGCTTTCAAAAGTGACAAGAGTATGAAGGAATAAGTACCCGTGGCTTATGTGGGCACCGGTTTCGCCATTAGATATTAGCACAATTCATAACAAATCAACAACTAATGCAGAAAGATCGATGATAATCTTGGGATGAAGCTATTGCAATTAGTTTAAAGTAGCGAGGTCTGAATTGGATGTGCTTGGGTGAGTGTGGCAGTAAGCTTACACAGAATTTTATGGTGGTTGTTTCAAAGAACTATTGACTATGTATCACGTGTTATGTGCTAATAACAATGCATTTATACAAGATTGTGTTTTTAACGGAAAATGGGGAGTTAGAACTTTACCTGACCTTGCTATGAATTAGGCACTCTGTCGAAAGCCCAAAGGTCAGTCAGCTAGCACAAACTTCATTCTGGAGAATGACAACGAATGAGACATGGGGCAGAAGCACGACTTTGACTTCAACATGACTATATTATATACTGGATGATTGTAGTTGTCTCTGATTTCTGTTTAGGTTTGTTTGTTTATTTGATTGTAATTAAGCACAAAGCTACACAATGGGTTATCTGTGCTCTGCCCACCACGGTATCGAAACCTGGATTCTAGCGTTGTAAGTCCTAGACATACTGCTGTGCCACCGGGGGCTTTCTGTTTAGGAATTGATTTTTTTAAGGAATGTAATGGATCTACTGCAGAAACGGTTAGTCAGTTTTGCTTGTGAAACATGTAAATGCTGATCTACAGCAAAACCATCCTGTGTACCAAAGAAAAGTGGACTAAGCATGTGCACATTGAAAAGTGTGTGGTAATTCCCTATAATGTGCAAGAAGTATACTGAGTTAAAAATTACCAAACAGTCAAATGGGATAGAATAAATACAACAAAACTACGTTTTGCCACTGCTAACATGGCATCATTATGTACACAACAGAACACATTTAAATGTCTCAAATGGTGATGTCATAAAGATAACCTTACCTTACATAAACATAGTTCTTGCATTTTATTTATTATAGATAGGTTCTATTTTATTATGACAACTTCTTTATTTTACATTTATGAACATTTGGAACACGGTAAAGAATTTTAATAATCTTATTTTAATTTCGATGTCGTGTATTTTATAAATGTTAGTAGACATGATGGTGAAAATTCTTGTTCCGATAGCCTTGTACTTAAATTTCGTTCGGTTTCGCCTATATGAAGACTACTAATCTGTACATTCTATATCATAAAGTACTTCTGTCTCAAGGCACGGCCTAGTGGTTAGGACGCTCTACTCGCAACCTGTGGGTAGCGGATTCGAATCCCCGTCCCACCAAACATGCTCACCCTTTCAGCCGTAAGGACGTTATAATTTGACGGTCAATCCAACTATTCTTTGATAAAAGAGTAGCCCAAGAGATGGCAGTAGGTGGTGATGACTAGCTGCCATCCCCCTAGTCTTTCAGTGCTAAATTAGGGGCGGCTAGCGCAGATAGCCCTTTTGTAACTTTGCGTGAAATTAAAAAACAAAATCTTCCAAAACAAATTGAAAGAAATATTAGCTTTACTAACCATGACACAAGAAAAGATAACTTACTTCTTCTCATTCTCATAAACAAATTTAATGTTAGATATAATGAACTTCAAAACATCAAAAATTGTTAAACAATTTTCTAGAAATAAAACTAATAATGCTGTTTTTGAACATATCTGACAAAAAAAAACAAAAACGTACTTCTAAAGTCACCGTACTTCTGATTTTATAATTAAGCATGTTCATAAGTATGTTAGCTAGAACGGGTGCTAATGGAGTTTCCACACGTATTCTCTCAATCGTATTATAGCACATAATATTAAACTGAACATTTGGTTTAAAACTTCTAGA